TCTCTACTAAAACAAAAATTCGCTGGTGTTGTCGCATGTAGCTATGATCCCAGCTACTCAGGAGGCTAAGGCATGAGAATTGCTTGAACCCAGTAGGCAGAGGTTGCAGTAAGCTGAGATCATGCCACTGCATTCCAGCCTGAATTAGAGCGAGACCCTGTCTCAGATAAATAATAAAGTGGAAAACGCTTATGGCATTCAACAGTGTCACAATGTTAAGCCAACCACATTTGCTAAGGTCTTATTTTTTTCGAGTATAAGAAGAAATCGTTTCAGATATTATTTGAAAACAAAACAAAACTGGCCATTTGCTGTCACAGATTTTATCTCCCTAGCTAATTATGCTTTCGCAGAAGTGAATATTTGTATCCAAATGAAACGAATATGCCCCTGGGAATTACAGCTCCTGGGTAGGTGGGGGAATGTATGTATTTATATATTAGGACTTGTTATGTATCTTTTTGTAGCTGATTTATGTGTGACCTAGCATTTGTAAGAGGTGGGGTGGGCCTCTCTGAAATTCAGTTTACCAATGGTAAAGGATTCTGTGCCAGCCACACTAGAATTAACAGCTGGTCTTCTTGATGAGGAGGACACTCCCCTGCTGCTCCCCAGAGGACTGCTTCCCTAGTGACCTAAAAGCAACTTCCCCCGGCCAAGCCCTATACATGCTCAAACAGTGCCACCTTGAGCAGCCTTGCCTTGGGCGTAAGCACAGTCACCCAGCAAAGCTCCAGATACTGCTTGGGCCCTGCCGTGCCTTAGTGACCTCACAGTGGTACAGTGCTGTCAGCCTTCTGACCAGCCTTCTTGGACTTTAGCTAGAAGACTTTCCTGGCTTTGACTTCCTCAATTTTTTAAACTGAGTAATTAAGAGAAACAAAACAGAGAATTCATAGACAGTTAATTCCAACGAATCATGCAACTGTGACATGACACTCCTATGTGAGCAGGCGATTCTCACCCAAGGTGGAATTTTGGAAAAAGGCCCTTCTAACTTCTATTGTGTGTTGCTTTATTGTCTGCTGGTTTTGAATACAGATTGGAAATGTCAGAAAAGACTTCAACAATCTTAGCTCACTGGTTGTACAGGAGCAGAAATGACCACCAGCTCACTCTGCTAATTAGCCTGAAAGAAAAGGTGTTATTACTGAGAAGCAATGCTCCATGGGTCTCTCATGTATTGCTCATCTTTGAGGGAGGCACTAACTTGTTCTGACCCATCTTTTCAAGGAAGTTGTAGAGCAAATGACCTTGGAAGTAGAGAAGTTAATGTCTCTCTCCAGATCAAAAGGCAGATTTGCTTATTATCCAGTACGATAAAGATAATGTCTCCCTTCAGGATGAAAAGATGGCTTGCTTAGAACTACTTATTGAAGACTTGAGTTTCCTAAGCTCAGAGTCCTCAGCTGTGATGCAAAACCACTGCACCTGCAGAATCTGACTTAGCCCATCTGGTTCCACCCTGAGAGAGATGTGTGGAGGGGAGCTGGTGTAATAACGATGCTCATGCTTCTTTCTGCCTGTGCTCTGAGTTCTGCATTCCTTTGTCTCTGATCCAGGAGTCTCTTGTCTTCTTTCAGCATTCATGATACCACGGAAAACTAGCTTGCTAACTTGCAAGCTGGGTAAAATCTCAGATTCTTCATAATTCTTGCCAGTTATTCTAGTGCTACACAAAAAACGTTCTTTAATAAAAATTGGTGGAGAAAGCACTGAAATTTACCGATGAGACATACATATTTAATAAGGGCTGGCAATGTGCAGTTTCGTTTTATCACACTATATGAATTACTAGAATTTTTCAACTATCTGTAACTTACACCATTATCTATAAACACCTACCCCCAATAAAAAGGCTTTTATCTGGCTGAATTTTATCTGGTGTTAGAACAATTTGTGATTTGTTAGCTGAATGTCTACTGCAGCTTTCTGTAAGCTAAGAAAAAAACACAAATGCTTTCTATTTATCTGTATATGAAATACCTTCTCAATAGTCCTGCCAACTCAGCTATTCTGGAGGAATTACTTTGTTATGAATGAGGATTGTTTTCTTGTCTGCAAAAAACAGTTGTAGCTAGCTCGGTGTATTTCACAAAGGTCAGTCATGTCCTTCAGACTTTTTGTTTTGGTGGTCAGACATTGTTTTAAATCTCTTTCTCAATACCCTTGAGCTGGCCATTGAAGGATTTGTCAAATTTCAAAAGATTGAGTAAAAAGAATAGGATCCTGTGTTCAGGAAAGAAAAATAAAATAATCAGCCAGCATGATTTCCATGATGCTGTGGGGAAGGTCCTGGACTCAGGGACAGGACTCCACAGGCACGCCTGAACCCAGGCCCATCACACACACTGGACATCCCGTGCACCCCAGCCAGACACCACACACACCTCCGTGGGCTGAGGACTCTAGGTTTGGGGGCCGGCTGATAGCCCACTGCCCCAGATAGGATAGCTTTAGTTAACTAAGTTATACCACCTGGGATTGGTGAGACTTGTAGTGAAGAAGAGCCTGGGTTCCAAATCCCTGGCTTTGGGATACTTCTCTTACAGGCTCACACCTGTAATCCCAGCACTGTGGGAGGCCAAAGCAGGTAGATCACCTGAAGTCAGGAGTTCAAGACCAGCCTGGCCAACATGGTGAAACCCCATCTCTACAAAAATACAAAAATTAGCCTGGCATGATGGCAGATGCCTGTAATCCCAGCTATTTGGGAGGCCTTGGAGGCTGAGGTTGCAGTGAGCCAAAATCATGCCAGAGCATTCCTGCCTAGGCGACAGAGTGAGACTGTGTCTCAAAAAAAAAAAAGTGACACACTCCAGATTTTTGAGAGTCACATATTTTACCTATGATGTTGTGTTGTTTTCAGACCTCGTAAGCGACCTGCCACAGCAGGGGTCTTGTGAGACAGTAACTAGAGTCTACTCGCTTTGCCTCTGATGCTGGTCGAAGCTCAAGGTTTCTCACAGTGTGGTCCCCGGAGCAGGAGGAATGACATCACATGGAAAGTTGTTGGAAATGTACATCTTAATGCCATCCCAGAATTTACAAAATCCCGGGGTGGGTCTGGCGATCTCTGGTTTAACAAGCCCTTGCCCTCTTGCACCCACGTGATTCTGATGCACACTACAGTTTCAGACCAAGGGGTGCTGCTCAGGGTCCCACATGTCAGAGGAGAATGAGGTTAGTTAAATTATAAATAGGAAAAGAAGAAATTAAATGTTGCCGTGAAATGTATAAGGGGATAACATGCAGCATTTATTACGGAAGTGATAAACAGCATTGATTACATCCATTGTTCATCATTTAAGAAGTATATGTCACGCCTATCCTATGTCAGTCACTGTTAGGGCATAAATACGAATACAGCATTTTACAAATGTCTCATCATGGACCACTGTGGCCCGCAGGGAAAATCTAGTTTGTCGCATATTTTTGTAAATAAGGTTTTGTTAGAACACAGCCATACCCATTCATTTGCATATTGCCTATGGCTGCTTTTAGGCTACAAGACCAAGTTGAGAAGTGTGGCAATGACCATATAACCTATAAAACCAAAAGCACTTAATATCTTGCACTGTGCATCAAAGTTTGTCAGTACCAGGTGAAGTGGTTTAAGGGAAAATCCTTTCCACGTTTCAGGTAGTTGAACACAAATAGGAGCAAGTTTGGTATGCAGAGGTTATTCTGTCATCCAGTAATATATTTGTATATTCTTTTTTCAGTAGTAGAAAATTTAGCTTCACAGATGTTAGTATCATGGAAGGCATACAGACTATGTAACAAGAAGCAGAGCAATTACTGACCAAACGCTTCCGTGTATGAATGAACCGAAGGAGGATGAGAATAAATATAGAAGTTAGAAAAGGAAAAATGAGGAATAAAAGATGTTCCTGGGAAGGGAGAATATTATCAAAAGACTGTGACCAATGTGAAAAGCCAAAATGAGGGAATGTGTGGCAGGACCTGGCTGGGGAAAGGAGCTAAGAGGCAGCAGGATACTGGATGGGAACATTCCAGCTGCCTGGCACGGAGGGTGGGCAGCAGAGTCTTCCTGGGAATGCTGGGGTGTTGATACCAGGCAGAAAAGGGGCAGACTCTAGATGGGGCTGGGAGAGCCATGCTCTGCTGCACTTCTTTTTGTTGAGACAGAGTCTGGCTCTGTCACCCAGGCTGGAGTGCAGTGGGTGATCTCGGCTCACTGCAACCTCAAGTGGTTTGCCTACCTCAGCCTCCCTAGTAGCTGGCATTATAGTCGTTATAGTCGTGTGCCACCACACCCAGCTGATTTTTGTATTTTTAGTAGAGACGGGTTTCACCATGTTGGTCAGGCTGGTCTCGAACTCCTGACCTCAAGCGATCCACCCATCTTGGCCTCCCAAAGTGCTGGGATTGCAGGCGTGAGCCACCATGCCAAGCCTCTCTTGCACTTCTCTGTCTACCAGGAGTCCACGTGTACTTGTGTGGCTGTTTACAGTAGGGCTCTCTCCATTCCTTACTCCACTACATGATTGACCACGTAGTGATGCTGGAGAAAACGCACTGGATTTCCCTGCGGGGAGTTCGAGTTACCGCTTGGCTTCACCTCTCACTGTTTGACCGTGGGCACATCATTTCATGGCTTCGTGTCTCGCTTTCCTCCTTAGTGAGAGGCTTCCCCCTACCTCCATGTTTTGTGATTCTTCCAGACTCATTATCGAGGGGGCATCACTGAAGGAAGGTCACAGCGTATCCCCAGGTCCCTTGCTTAAAGAGCGGAAGAAGGAATAACTAGCAGAGACTCGGGCCCTTCTGAAAGGGAATCCTTGACCACTGCGGCACAGGGCATCCTTTCCTGGGAAAGGTTTCAGGCTGATTTATTTCCAACTCACACCTCATAACCGATTTCTTCTCTTGCCCAAAGAGAAGAAATCTTCTCTTGCCTAAACTGTCAAAAAATGTTTAGAGGAGAAATGAGCAGCTGGGCTTCACGTGTGTGATCGTATTTATCTTTCTTCCAGGAATTTTTCTTTAAATGTGGAGCACACCCAACCTCCGACCAGGAAACATCAGTAGCTTTGCACCTGATCGCAACAAACAGTCGTAACATCACTTGCATTACGTGCACAGATGTCAGGTAAGGATCTAAGAATAGCGTCACTCCTCCGCTCCTTACTTTCCCTGTACCGTTCTGCCACACAAGCCTTCCTCCGCGAACTCTCTTTCCTGGGGAGTGTCTGCTTGCTTTTGATGTTTCTGCCCAATTTGGGTATGTTTTCATGTGATTAAATTATTTAAAATGCCAATGACTTAATTTAGGTACATCGGGTCCTAAGATGTGAGATGGCATATCCATAGTGTAATCATAGTTGATATTAAAATGTAAGCTCACATATTTGAGTATAAAATGTAAACTCATCCATTAAGTTCCAAAATAAAATTAAAATATGATGCTACCATTAGGAATGTTAACATAAGGCATGCACCACCATGCCCAGCTAATGTTCTGTAATTTTAATAGGCATGGGGTTTCCCCATGTTGGCTAGGCTGGTCTTGAACTTCTGACATCAGGTGATCCGCCCGCCTCAGCCCAAAGTGCTGGGATTATAGGTGTGAGTCACTGTGCCTAGCCAGGAATGGAAAAACAATTTACGAACACCATAATATATAGCCCATACATTTTATTTTTAAAATGTCTTTTCCATACATTTCAGTTCTCCATATTTGCCTGTATTTATGCTGAGGCTTCGCACACATTCATACACTCAAAATGAAAGCATGTAGCTAGTTTTGGACCTTGTTATTTCTAATCTCAGTGAATACAAGAAAAGCAAAAATGGAGATGGTCTGTTAGGAAAAAAATGGAAAATGACTCGATGTGAATTGCAGTGTAGCAACCAAGGACCAAGTGGAGGAAACTGAGTCTATCTGCTCTGCAGAGCGGGCAATTCAGAGTAGAATTCCTTACTCTACCCTTTGCAAATGGACAGAGGAAAAGAAATTAGTTTCATTTATGTTCTTTGAGGTTGGCTAAGAAGCTGAAATTGCAATAGTGAGAACTTTTTAATGAAGTGCCGAAATGAATTAATAAACTCAAGGAATCTATTGTTTCAGACTTTTAAGCAAAAATAGTCATATATCCTAATCATTTTACGTGTTGTCTCTCTTTGGCCTTTGGAACTGTATTAGATGGTCTTTTAAAGTTGCTTTAAACTCTGTGATTTCGTGATAAACAAATATGCACACTCCTATCAGGCTGTGTCTATTCTCTAATAAGTTAAAATTAAAATATTGATTAATAGAAGCCCAAAAACTTTAACAACATCTGTTGAACAAACCTGTTTCCAAGAAGGAATGAAAATGAGACAAGATTTTCTCTTTGCTGCGTGTTTAGTCACTGCTATGGCAGGAAACCACAATATTGCCTTTAAAAGGCAGCGTTTCAGCCTCTCTTGGCAAGGTGAGTGACTGCGCATGGCTGATGCTTTCAACATGCAGGAAGAACAGCTAAGATGAGGATTTTGGTGTTTCAGGAAAGGAATCAGAACGTGCTAAAAGTGAGGGCTTGACTGCTCTGAAAGCAGTAGGTAATTGAAGTCACTTTTCAGTTTTTCACAAGAAAAATTCAGAATACTTTTCTGTAAGTCAGAAAGCATCTTGTCAGCCAGTATTTTAAACTTTCCATTAAGGTTGGTAAAGATGACATTAAGATATGTGGTAATGTTGGTGTTATCTTACTAAGAGCATGGCGCTCCCCGTTTCCCGCTGTTACGTTCATGTTAGTAACTGGCAATATCTTTTGAAGAAAACGAGCCACCTCTCAGATACACAGGGGGATAATTGCTGGAAAAATACTATTGTCGCAATAAATTTTTTCATATGATTACTTTTGGGAGAATTTATAAATAGAAGCGACTATGTCAGATGCATCTTAAGGGTGTGGGTATGTAACCGACTACTTGATTGAATAAGGCCCCTTCTCGTGTGAGGCAGTAGAGGAGTGTCCCATGTGTAGGAAAGAGACAAACTCCTTCCGACTTTGAGGTTGCCATGTGTAAGAACATGATGAGCACCTGCACAGACACTCCGTGCAGTTTGGTGATCATTTGGGGGTTTTTCCTGAAAATGCTTTCTTTTTAAATTTAGAAATCATTCACAATAAACTATAAAACGTGTTAGACGTTATTTTTACCCTAATGCTTAGTAAAATGTTGTTTTTTCCCCAATATCTTGATTATGCCTACATATTTGTGGTATATGTGTGTGCTATATAATTATAGTGTATGTATAGTTTAGTATCTTGCTTTTTCCATTTAGCATGACATAATGATAAATGTTTTCCTCTGCACTTCTCTTTAAAATGGCACACTCAGCCGGGCACAGTGGCTCTCACTTGTAACCCCAGCACTTTGGGAGGCCGAGGTAGGCAGATCACTTGAGCTCAGGAGTTTGAGACCAGCCTGGGAAACATGGCCAGACCCTCTCTCTACAAAAAATATAAAAATTAGCCAGGCATGGTGGCATGCACCTGTAGTCCCAGCTGCATAGGGGGCTGAGGCAAAAGGATGGCTCGAGCCTGGGAGGTCAAGGCTGCATTAAGCTGTTTGTGCCACTGCACTCCAGCCTGGGTGACAAAGTGAGCCCTTGTCTCAAAAAAATGAAAATAATAATAAATTTTCTTTGCCATGAAAACAGTGTTTTAAAAATAGATACCTGGAATTCTGTCATGTGGGCATATGCTGTTGTATGAACTTTTTCTTTAGTACAGCTAAAAACGGGGTCCTTTTCACACAACCATGATAAATTAGGCCCGCAGACTCTTTTGAGGTGAGAAAAATGTAACTTATTGGGCAAAAAGGAAAAGAAAAAGGGTAACAGGTACTCTCAGCAAAGCACGAATCCCAGGTACTACCCGATCAGGAGAAGCCAGGCTCCTCCCTGCCGCAAGCAGCATGAACTTCCCAAGGCTCCATCCCTTTCTCCCAGTGCACGGGCCAGTTAGTTTCTCCGGATACCCCTTTATATGTGGCTGTCTCAGTTCTACTTAACCATTTTCCCACTGTTGAGCATTTAGATTACTTACAGTTTTTTAAAAAACAAGACTGAAAATCATATTATGTTAAAGACATCATGGACTGCATGCCTTGACTCTTAAGAACACAGCTGTGACAATGGTTGTATAGGTCCGTGGTAATGGACATTTTTGAGGTTCTTAATGGGTAACATCACGTTCCTTTCCAGCAACACTGCTCCAGTTCTGATCTGGCTTCCCATGTTTGAGAGGGCTCCCTCCCATCTCTCTTTCAGCATTGCGTATGCTCATCCTTTTTGTCTTTGCCTGTTTGATAAAGGAGATTTTTAAATTATTTTAAGTTATTATATATGAATTCAAGAATTTCTCATTGGCTTATTTGCATCTTTTATTGTGAGAGAAGAATGCAAAACCTTCTCAGTACAAAAGCTATACAAAAAGTCTACAAAACAGATCTGGTCTCAGCAATTGCTTTCTCGTTCGCTATTCATAACATCAGGGTGTCCTTTATAAATACAGTATATTGGCTTTTGAGTTTATGTTTGAATATGTTGCTTTGGTCTTTATTTAAAAGTATCATATTTTCCTGGAGGTGAATCAAATTCATAATGAATTACAGACTTAAAAATAAAAGGGTTTTTAAAATCTATTATTTTATAATTGTTTTTCTTATTTATATGTATGTGTATTAATCATACACCATTAATCAAATTAGACATTAACCACATAATAGATGAAAATCATAGGATAGTATTAATTTATTTGTAAATATATTTTTTGTGTACTTATAATGGGAAATAAAAATGATATTCTAAGCCTCCAACTGCCTGAATAAACTCCTTCCTGGTCAAGGGGACCATGGAGACACCTTGGAAGCTGAGTCCCAGCCATGATGGGGTAGGATGTCAGACAGGCCTGTTATGCCCCCTCCCTCTCTAACCACCTCTAGACTTTCTTCCCTAAGGGCTAAACAGAAACCAGGCTCTCCAAAAGACTCCACACTGAGGCCGGGCGTGGCTCATGCCAGTAATCCCTGCACTTTGGGAGGCCAAGGTGGGTGGATCACTTGAGGCCAGGAGTGTGAGACCAGCCATGGCCAACATGGGCAAATCCCATCTCTACTAATAATAATAAAATAAAAAAAAAAATAGGCCGGGCGTGGTGGCTCATGCCTGTAATCCCAGCACTTTGGGAGGCTGAGGCAGGCAGACCAAGAGGTTAGGAGTTAAGAGACAAGCCTGGTCCAATATGGTGAAACCCTGTCTCTACTAAGAATAAAAAATTTAGCTGGGCATGGTGGTGTGCAGCTGTAGTCCCAGCTACTCAGGAGGCCGAGGCAGAAGAATTGCTTGAATCCGTGAGGTGGAGGTTGCAGTGAGCCAAGATTGCACCACTGCAGTCCAACCTGGGTGACAGAGCAAGACTCCATCTCAAAAAAAAAAAAAAAAAAAATTCTGGGCATGGTGGTGCACGCCTGTATTCCCAGCTACTCAGGAGGCTCAGGCAGGAGAATTGCTTGATTCTCGGAGACAGAAGTTGTGTTGAGACAGGATCATGCCGCTGCACTCCAGCCTGGGTGGCAGAGTGAAACTGTGTCTCAAAAGAAAAACCCACATTATCCACACTGACAATGTCGATTACTGGCTTGTATCTTCTTGGATACAGAACAAAGACAAGATGAGATAAATCAGTCCTCACCCTCCCTCAGACAGATGCCTGCTCTATTCCGATTTTCTTTAAATGTTCACCTTATCTTATGTAAAACGTCGGTTTACTGGGCACTGACTAAAGGCTCACAAGTGTATCACCATCACAAGTGTGGCTCACTGCCTCCCCTTTTTAAGGAAAATGCATAAATGCTAAATCTCCTCAGAACCTCTTTGGGGAATAAACAGCCACAGATGTATCTGTGACTTGCATTTTTCCCAGGCATGCTCTCAAGCTGCAGTAGCAGACCCTGATGACTGAGCCTTCTGCCTCAGTCACTCATTTCGGTTGTCAGCACTAATGAAAGTAAGAATTTTGTGTTTTTGTGCTTTACATATATACTTCTGTATATTTTTCATTTACCTTTTTATAATAATAATTCAAAGTGCCCTAATGC